CACCCCTGCAGATCGGAAGAAATGCCTCAAAATAGCTAAGGTATTTTAAATTCTGGTATCAGCTGTTTTTGGCTGACAATTGAATTAGATTATCTCTGCCCCGATGAACTTTACAATTGGGTCCTTGGAATAATATATGATTCTATAATTTTTCACTCTCACCCATTTTTACAAGTGACTGCCTGGAGAAACGTCATTTGAAAATGCTCCCAAAGCTTATTTTCTTTTGGATGATTTNCCATTTTTACAAGTGACTGCCTGGAGAAACGTCATTTGAAAATGCTCCCTAGGCTTATTTTCTTTTGGATGATTTTGAGTAATTCTGGATTTGAAATCCTTGGTGAAGTCCCTGCATCATTATACAGTTGTTTATGACGGATTGAGATACCTCTGAAGTCATTCGAGATCATCTTCATCCTTACTTGACTTCTAATTGTTTCGAAACTCTGGAAATTAACGTCTTTTAAAAGAAATGAATTTGGAATCAGTCCAACCTGTTATCCTCCATATCCACTGATATAAATGCAACATGAGGGAATTAGCTTTTCATTCATTTTAAGGTTATGTAAAAAGGACCTTCAAGACTCAAAGTGGATAGATGAAGCTGTTTAATGTTTTAACAATGCTGTTTTGTACTTGAATTTGCATGTTTGGAAAAAAAATTTATGTTGGACAATGAAACCAGTTAACCCATTTGACCAAACCCACCAATCCTTTAATATTTACAAAATGGAGTGCCAAGTTTCTTGTCACAAGGTATTATGCAGTTCTTTGTGGCAGTAGAAAGAGAAGAATGGAAATTTGATACTCTTATGTGATCTGTATGATACCCTTAGCAGCTCATTTTTACACTTTCATCAGTAATTCATGATCATCTCTCTTTCATTCTCCCTACGTTTCTCTAGGTTGGTGTTCTTTAATTTGATTTTATTATATATACTCGAGAATTAAACAATTCAATACCTTGTTGTGTAATTATGCGAGCCAAAAAAGAATATCCTTTGCATCCGAAGTACTAACATTCAATATTAAGTATATTTCTCATTACCATTCAGAACTCTTATGATCTGTCGCCATGTTACTCAGAGTTGGGCACAGGTCCTTTTGTTTTAGCCTTTGCAATCTTCAAAATTGAGGATGTGGGGACCCTGCCATATCATCATGTGTAAGATGTTGATGTGATTTTGTACAAACAAATAGGTTTAGAGGATGGGTATGAGCAAAGCAATATATTTTCTGTATATGAATGTTTGGTTCTCTTTTCTTGTGGTTTGAAAGCAAATAAGAGCTGCAAATTATTTTTGTCATTGGAATTTCTTTCATGAGTTAGATGGACTATGTTATTGTTAATGTAACAAATCTACATTGAATGCATAATGTGTGGGGAATCCTTGTTTTTGTTCTATCATGGCAAGTGGCAACTTTAGGATTGCAGACACATTTGCCATTTTATTGGAAGGATGGGAAAAGGAAGGGAACGTGGCTAAGGCGAAGACCACCTTTGGGGAGATGGTGATTGGGGTGGGTTGGAGCCCACAGTACATTTCTCCTTATGATGCATTCTGAATACCCTTTTACGTGGGTCACAGGCTGATGAGGCAATCAAGTTCTTGCAGGTGATGAAGGGAAAGAACTGCTTGCCTTTTTTGAAATTCTTTTATAATACTCTTGGTATTCTTGTTGTTCTATTTTAGCAAAGCAATATATTCATTTAATCATTAATAAGAAATTGTTTGGAAATATGGTTCTTATCCAAGAAATGTCATTTTTTTTTCTTATTTTTCTTAATGAATTCATACACCTGCACTTTCAATTATGAATTGTTTTATTTCTT